TGGCCCAGCTGCCTCAGCTCCCAGTATGTACAGGGAGGCAACATGTGATCCAGCTCTTGGCTTGCTGCTCTGTGTGTCATGTAAGCCTGTGTGGCATGTGCTCCGGTCCCACCCCAGCCTGGCACCCTCCCTAACTTGGCGCTCGGGGGCAACTGCCCCCCATCCACTCTCTTGCTACGCCCCTGATGTCAGTGTGGGCAGGCTTTCATCCAAAATGCAGGATATAGGGCTGTGGGGTCTAGTCGGTGCTGAAGCAGTAGCCACTATAGTGGTTAGTTCTGTAGTGGTCTAGGCACACTCAACCAGCCAAATAGCCACATGTGGCTAGCATGTTGGACTCTATGGGTGGGAGGTGAAGGTGAGATTTGCAAAGCTGCTGCACTGGGATGTGTGAAGGACTGGAATAGTCTGTAGAGTTGGTTTCTATTTTAATGGTACAATTTGGAGGAGCTTGGGTGCAAAACTCAACAGGATGTGGAGAGTGTTTCTGTAAACTGAGTGCTTGGTGGCCATCTACCAGAGATTCAAATGCCACCTATCTGAGTAGCAGAGCATCCACAGTGCCCACAGCAGGCAGCATGTGTTTCTATGGGTGGTGCACATAAAAATTTATTCTGCACATGGCTGGAAAACATTTAGAAGGAACGGGATGTAGCTAGATGTCTCTTACCCAGATTCTCCCCTCTCCATGTTAGCAAGTCTGCAATTCAAGCACCATTTCTTCTTCCAGCAACTGGAACTGCTGGGATTCATGTCTGTCAACTCCATTTCCATTGACTTCCAGCAAAGTGTTTAGAAGGAAAATAGGAGCCTAACATGACTAGGCTGGAATGAAACCTGGCATGTATGTGTCCATGTATGTCTAGTGTATTGAAACTTTTCCATTTTGGCCACCACAGGGTCATTTGTGTTTTCCATTTATTTGTGCATCGGTATGAACACATTTGCTGTGTTTTCCACAATCTCAAATTCAGACACAGCTAAACATAGACTGATAAAATCAGTTTTAATACTGTTCCCCAGAATTAATAGAAAGTTGATGTTTTTGCAGCTTCATTTGCAATGACTGCATATAAGGCAAAAATACCATAACTTCATCATCATCATTTAAAAATACCATTATCCACCTGGTTTGGGGGATATGCTGGATCTCTGACTCCTTTTGGAGGAAATTCCAGAGCAAAGGAGTGGAGTTTCTGTTCCACATTCAGATGTTTGTGGAAATCATATTGGACCCACCCAGGTTAAATGTTATCCAATCGAAAATGAGATGTGGTGTCTGCATAAGGCATTGGACCACAGAAATCTGTACTAGAAGTATCCTAAGAGCTCAATGAATAATTGACTTTTGAAGTAAAAAACCTGGCGTGTTCTGAACCAAGCATGCCATGTTTGTTTATATTGTTTCACACC